GAAAAAAAAATGATATTCTGAGCTCATTGTTGATCATTGTTTACATGAAAAACTCGTAACAAGGAAGCTCTCTCTATAGCGTTTGATTTAATTGATCAGATATTCACAATAATCTCTAGGAAATTCTTCTTATAAACAGATAGTCATTTCTAATAGAGAAACTAAGAAGAATCTTTTTCTTTTTCTGTCTCAGCAGTCACACTATAACAACATACTTCTTCTTTTAACTGTTTTGTATAAGAAATTAATACATTTAATTTTTGTTTTGATTTTGTCTCCTCTTCATTGCATTTTTGCGATTTTTCATCGTATTCCTGTTGTAAATAGTGATTTCGTTCAATAGACTTTGTTTTCTGTTGAAATTTTTGTAATAAACGTTCGCGATATTTTGAAGAATCACGCATCAAAAATAAACGTTCAAATTGATTTGTTAAAATTTGAGAATAAATCGAATCAACAGTTGACAAATACAATTTTAAATCTGAAAATAAATAAGTCAAACGGATAATTTTTGGTACAAGAATTCTAAAGATTATTTTACCATTTTCTGTCTTATTCTGTATTGAAAATGGTGCATTTTGCATGATAAATGTCATCAAGATTGTTTCATTCACATTATACTCTGATAAACGTTGTCTTAAAAATGATTGTAACTAAAATTAACTAGTGAAGAAAATAAGCGTACTATTTTGTATACACAATGATTTACACACTCTGTTCAAATTATTCATAAATAATATGTAAGTAGAACGATTTTCCAGTAATGTCAATGCATCATCACCACGAGCTGTGTCATCATCTGTTTTTGATAAAATAATAAAATAAATGGAAATAAGACGAAATATATGCACTAGGTACCTTGTACATTCTGTTGTTCAATGATTACAGCATCAGTAATGGCGTCTGTGATTGATTGTGTTGTGTGTATATCCAAATCGATAGATGGATCTAACAATTCAGGAACAGTATCTATCGCCGACCAATCAATACCATTGTCCTAGAAAATAAAGTAAAGAGTGAACAATTTTTTAATTGATCTAAGCCTTATTTTCTTTTAGATACCTTATCAAAATCAATGGTATCTTCGATAACTTTAATCGCACCTGGTTCTTGTTCATCCTGCTTCAATTCAATATTTTCTACTGTCAGATCAATGTCATCATCAAGACCAACAATTTGATTATTCTCATCGTCAGTCTCATTTTTATCAATCATACTCTTATAATTTTGAACTGGACGTTCAATATTTGTTGGAACACGATTTGTACGCCACTGGAAAACCGTTGAATTACCATTATTCACAAGATATTTTAGTACGGATAACAAATCATTATCAGTTCTACAATTAATAAGAGAGAAGATAAATAATTTTCGACTTGATATAGTATTTCTTTGATGACTGTCAGAAATGTCTGACGAGGGAACCTCTTGAGGTTATAAATCGCTTTTGAACTCTGACTACTTTTATCTTGTAGATCTCAGTGAGTAGTGAAATACCGTAAGTTGGTTTGTGCCCATGGTGCTTTGTTGCTGAGATACTGGATTTTTAGTCAGTTTTTGTGTAGAGAGCTTGATTTCAAACTTGCCACACTTGTAGCCCATCATCCTAGTAGTACGAC